AGCGTTGCCTTCCCCGCCGCGTCCCTTCCGCCGATTAACGCCAGCCGAGATGTTGGAACGTCGCCGTCAAGGGTTGTGCTTCAACTGTGATGAGCCCTATGTGCGCGGCCATCAGTGCCAGTGCCTGTTCTTTTTGTAGGCCGCCAACTTCTTGGTGGATGACCCCACGGACAATGGGGCGGCGGACGCGGCTGTTGAGCCAGCTCTGTGGGATGAGCAGCCCGTCGCCCTGGTTGTCTCCCTCTACGCCCTCGCCGGCATCCGCACCGAGGAGACCATGCACCTCCATGTCTACATCTAGGGTCACAAGCTCCTCGCCCTCCTCGACAGTGGCTCGACCCACAACTTCATCAACGCCAGGGTCATGCGCCGCATCGGGCTGGTGACAGGCGACAACCACATGCGGGTCACTATGGCCAACGGCAACAATGTGACCTGTACCGGCGTGGCTCATAATGTGGCCATGCGCATCGGCAAGGAGGACTTCACCATCAGTTGTTTCGGCATTGACTTGGGCGGTTTTGACCTCATCCTCGGTGTTGACTACCTTCGCACCCTCGGACCCATCCTGTGGGATTTTGAGGACCTGTGCATGTCCTTCCAGTGGGGCGATCGGCGCATCCTTTGGAAAGGCGTGGGCTCCCCACGTGACGACATCATGGAGCCAGCTCTCCACGCAATGACGGACGATCACCAGCGCCCGCTTCTGGACAAGCTCCTTCACCAGTACAGGGCCATCTATAGAGGTGGTCTGTCCATTTATACATGGTCTCTATAAATATATTTTTAGAGGTGGTCTCTTAAGAAGACTGGATCTAAATTAAAAAGGCCATTAACAGAGGTGCGCCTCTTAAGAGTGACGTATTTGTTAATCTTTCGATAAGCCAAACATTTTAAGATGTCTGCCTCTATAAATAGTCATCACCTAAAATAAAATTCATAACTTTTTGCAAGTTATGTTGGATGAAGACAAACTTTATATCAAAATTGTAGTGCTCAGGGGACCTACAACTTTGTAGTTGACAAGTTCTTTATTTGGAATTATTTAGAGTATCAAATTTTCATTTTATGTTTTCAGATTTTGAAATCCAAAATTTAGAATTTTTGAACAACCTTGGATGTTGACATAGTCTATAACAAGTTTATTGTTCTCAATTCGATCTACAAATTTCTGGTTAAGTCATTTATAGTTCCAAATATGTGTTTTAAATTCTTAGATTTTAAGTCATTTAGAGCCCCAAGTCATTGAAAAAAAATTGAATTTAAAAATCTAAGAACCTAAAACATCGACTACAGGGCATTGAACGACAAGACATCAAAGGACAAGTTCCCGACCCCGGTGGTTGACAAGCTCTTGGATGAGCTCCATGGCACCAGATTCTTCGCCAAGCTGGATTTGCGGTCCAACTACCACCAGGTTCGGATGCACCCGGAGGACATTGAGAAAACGGCGTTCCATACACACCACGGGCACTTTGAGTTTCTTGTCATGCCGTTCGGTCTCTCCAATGCGCCAGCCACGTTCCAGGTGCTCATGAACGATGTCCTCCGGCCCTTCCTCCGTAGGTTCGTGCTCGTTTTCTTTGACAACATTTTGATCTATGGCTCGTCGTGGTCCGATCACCTACAGCACGTCCGCCTCATCTTCGATGCCCTGTGTGCCCATGGAACCTTCGGGGCGCCCTCGGTCGCATACCTCGGCCATGTCATCTCTGTCGATGGTGTCGCAATGGACGGCGACAAGGTGGACGCCGTTGCTTCTTGGCTAGAGCCCCGCTCACCCCGGGGCGTGCATGGCTTCCTGGGGTTGGCCGGCTACTACCGAAAAATCATCCGGGATTTTGGCACCATCGCCGGGCCACTGACCCATCTCCTGTGCAAGGAGGCATTCGCCTGGACGTCGGAAGCTGCTAAGGCGTTCTCGGCGCTCAGCCGTGCCCTCTCTTCAGGACTGGTGCTGCAGATGACTTTGACTAGTAGTTCATCGTTGACTGCGACGTGTCGGGCGCCAGGTTCGGCGTCGTTCTCCACCAGGGTGCCGCCCCCTGGCCTTCTTCAGCCGGCCATTCGCCGCTCGCCACCACAACCTGGCGGCCTACGAGCGCGAGCTGATCGAACTCGTTCAGGTTGTACGGCACTGGTGGCCGTATCTTTGGGGTCGCCGCTTCCTCGTCCGCACCGACCACTACAGCCTGAAGTTCCTCCTGGACCAGCGGCTATCTATGGTGCCCCAGCATCAGTGGATCAGCAAGTTGTTCGGGTTCAACTTTGCGGTGGAGTACCGCCCCAGGTGCCTCAACTCGGCGGCCGATGCCCTTTCCCGCCGCGATGCCGACAATGCCGCCGAGCTGGCTGAAGCCGCTGCCTCTGTCGCTGCATTGTAGGCCCTCACAGGTCCCTCTTTCAAGCTCCTCGATGGCATTCGCACCGCCACAGCGACTGACACGAAGGCCGGTCGCTTTCAGCAACAGCTACTGGACGCATCTATCAGGGCGCCCTATTCTACGCGTGATGGCTTCCTCCTCCACGGCAAGCAGATCTTCGTGCCAGCTCTGCACGACTTGCGCCATCAGGTGATTGTGCTGGCTCACTCCGTCGGCCATGAGGGCATTCAAAAGACTCTCTTCCACTTGCGCGAGGACTTCTACATCCCAGGTGATCGCGTGCTCGTCCAGGACTTCGATCGGGCCGGTGTCACGTTCCAGCACAACAAGACGTCGACCCTATAGCCAGCTGGTTTACTCCAGCAGCTCGACGTTCTGTCCCAAGTGTGGGCGGACATCTCCATGGACTTCATCGAGGCCCTTCCCAAGGTCCATGGGAAGTCGGTGATCCTCACTGTTGTCGATCGCTTCTCCAAGTACGCACACTTCATCGCCCTTAGCCACCCGTACTCGGCTGCCTCGGTCGCCCGCGCCTTCTTCGACGGTATTGTTCGTCTTCATGGCTTCCCCAACTCCATCGTTAGTGATCGTGACCCGGTGTTCACTAGTCACATGTGGCGTGACCTCTTCAAGATGGCTGGCGTCAAACTACGTCTCAGCATGGCGTTCCATCCCCAAATGGATGGGCAATCAGAGGTGGTCAACAAGGTGATCGCTATGTAAATTCGATGTGCCACAGGAGACCGCCCACGTGCTTGGGTGGACTGGCTTCCGTGGGTGGAGTACTGCTACAACACATCGTTCCACACAGCGCTCCGCACCACGCCTTTCTAGGTTGTCTACGGTCGGCCGCCCTCGCCTCTGCTTCCACACACCGTCAGGACGGCTCAGACCGAGGCGGGGGACACGCTACTTCGGAATCGCGACGCCTTCCTTGAGGCGGTTCGCGAACGTCTTCTCCAGGCGCAGCAGTACGCCAAGCACCACTACGACGAGCATCACCGTGAACTGGAGTTCGCGGTGGGCGACTAGGTGTGGCTCCGTCTTCTTCACCGACCGACGCACTCCCTGGAGTCCCGCCCCACCGGCAAGCTCGGCCTGCGCTATGTCGGCCCCTTCCAGGTGCTGGAGCGCATTGCCAGCCCCTGACCGCGTGCTATGCGCCTAGCTTCGCTGAGGCGCCTGGCATGTGTTGGTCCAATGGCAGGGCCTGCCTTCGGATGAATCAACTTGGGAGCCCCTGCAGGACTTCAAGAACCGCTACCCCGACATTCAGCTCGAGGACGAGGTGTTTGACGATGCGGGGAGAGATATTATGACCGGCGTCCAATACGTCAGGCGCCGGCGCACAGGTGGCTAGGAGGCCGGCGCACAGGGGCTATGAGGCACCTGGATTAGATGGGCTAAAGGCCCAGTTATCTTTATTTGTTATTTCCCTCAATAGGATATTTATTTCTTAAAATAGGATTATATATATATATATATATATCTTGTAAACAATTATTGGAGAATTAAGCAAAGCAAAAGTTATTTGCCTGGCCTCAAGGGCCATTACGTGATCTCCTTGCCTCCCTGCCCTGTTCCTCACGTGAGCACCTAGGGCAACAGCCGTCGCCTCCCTGCTCAACCACGGCGCCATAGCGCCGCCCTCCTCGCCCCCGACCTCCAATCTCGTATCCCTACTCTCTTCGCAGCCGCGGTAGGATCAAGGATCCTATTATCTGATCTCTTCACCATTGCAGGGAGCCTTTTGTAGAGTTTGGCTTGGTCCATAATACATTCTCTCTCTTTTTACTTCTATACAAAAGTAGTGCACACGGGAATGTCTATTGAGGACACTGTTCTTCACCTACATGTGTTGTCTGAAACTAAATGTACATTTTGAAATCATCACTGGTAGCCGAAGAAAAGAAGTATTTTCTCTAATTGTTGCATAAGAATTGTGGATTGTGTTTTTAGTGACCAAGGCCTCGTTTAGTTTCTCCCCCTAAAGTTTACTCCCTGTCCCATCGAATATTTGGACACATGTATGGAGTATTAAATATAGGCTAAAAAAATAACTAATTGCACAGTTTGCGACTAATTTGCGAGACGAATCTTTTAAGCCTAATTAGCCTATGATTTGACAATGTGGTGCTACAGTAGCATATGTGCTAATGACAAATTAATTAGGCTTAATAAATTCGTCTCGCGGATTACTGACGGATTCTGTAATTTATTTTTTTATTAGTATCCGAACACCCCATGCGACACCCTATGTGACACCCGATGTGACAGCCCAAAACGTTATACTCTGGATTTAAACAAGGCCCAAGTTGATAGTTCTTTTACAAAAATCAAATGATACTGCATCAACTGATATTCTTCTAAAAAAAATTGAAATCTCTGAATCAACCTTTTGTTCTAGCATTACCCGAAATTTACACTGGAAAAAACAAATCCTAGCCAGAGGTGTGGTTACAATGTGGCTATGGATCTCAACCTTTTTATCCTTTTATTGGAGAGGACGTATGACTTGAAGCCACAAGATTTCATATCATTCTGAACATAACTTCCAATTATTGCTGCAAACCTATTCTGGAGCAGTAATGAACGAGCATGGCAGCCATCTTTTGTTCAGTTATTACTCCTTTGTACTGATACGGTTGACTTCTGCTTGCCAACTGTAGCGATGAACTCAACTGGCACTTTTAATGCATTAATACATGCCAGATTCATCAAGCTTGTTGACGACCATGTTGGTTCCCCTCCAGCTAAATCAGATACTCCTCGGAATACAATCACAGGTATGCCAGGTGATGTTGCTGTCTGTTGAATCAGTAAGAGAGTTCGCTTAATTGTAGCGCTATCTTAAGTTACATGATCTGGATGTACTACAAGTATTGGTAGGCATATAAATGAAAAGTAAGAGACATAATCTGCTACAACTCACCATCACCACTGCTGCGCTCTCCTCATCTACTGTTGACACCCCAAATTCTCTGAAAAGGAACTTTCTGTATTCTGCGTTGTCATGAAACATGTCAGCTGATGATCCTTTAAGCCCATAGACAACTTGTGGTGTTGTCGGTAAGCAGAAAGTGTCATTGCATCTTTCAAGTTTGACCTGCAGAAATTTCACAAATAGTAGGCTGTGAGTAGCCATGCACAAACATGTAGTATTTGTTATGCAATTATGTTACTGATATATTGTGAATTTGTGTAGCGATCACCTTAAGTTGTTCTGCAATTCTGAACCATGCTGAATCTACAGGTAGCCAGAATACTTCTTCCATAGGCTTGCCAACTGAATCTACTTCTGATGAAATTGTGTGGAATCTGGGTAAGAAAGGTAGATTTACGGTGAAGTCAGTTTACAATGGCCTGACAAAAATGAAAATGGTGTTTTTCATAAGAGGATTTGGAAAGGGAAAATTCCAGTGAAGATTAAAATATTTCTGTGGTTGATGTCTTCCAATGCAATCTTTACCAAAGATAATTTGCTCAAAAGAAAATGGCAAGGTGATCCTAAGTGTGCTTTTTGTGATAATGATGAAACTATTTCCCATTTGTTTTCCCAATGTCCTGTTGCTAGGGTAATTTGGTCAATCATAGCAAGATGCTTTGGTGCTAATAACATACCATCTGACCTAAATCAATGTTGGCAGTGGTGTGAAGCTTGGTTTCCTTTTGGTAAAAAATATCATCCATGGGGTATTGCAGCTGTTTGTTGGGCTATATGGAAGAGTCGTAATAAAAGCCTGTTTTGATAAGGAGATTATTAAAAGTCCGCTTGAGATATTATGCCATGCGAATGCGCTTATGGTTTTCTGGGCAGGACTCTATGCAGAGATGGATCGTGAACAACTAATTGAAGGCGCCAATCTGATGTTGAAAGTGGCCAAGGAGGTCTTAGCCAAGCAGACGGCGAGGGAAGTGGACCAGTTGCTACTTCAGGACAATCAGCCAGGCTACACACCAATGAAGACTCGACTTGATCGGCACAAAAGGAAGCTGTTTCTCAAAGCTGATGCGGAGTAGTTGTTTGCTGTTGGAAGTAGTAGTAGCTTTTCTGTCTGGTCGACAGGCTTGAGCTGTCCTTTCTTTTGTTCCTGTAAGTTTCAGTTTTAGCTTCGTTTGGGCTGTGGTTGCTTGTTCACGCTGGTTGGTGCCTGTATGGCACTAGGAACTGTTTGGGTGGTGTTCTGTGGTTCTCTTATTAGGTTCTACGATGGCGTAGTCTTTCATCTTAGTTTCTGTCTACCTGTAACTCTGAATGCTTGTATTTCCGTTATGTCATAATGGGAATGAGATTTCTCGCTAGGAAAAAAAAAAGTATAGTATAGCTCCTCGTTTTTGTATTTCAGGGATCCTAACAAATTCTCTCCTCGTGGGGTATGACCCCCGGTATCCATAAGACAATACATGGACCGCACCATCAGAAGGGGCACATCCCACAAGATCAAAACGTGCACGGCACTAGTCGACGTGCACCGTAAGATATTATATAATACCAAATAGACTATTTTGCTTGTAACCCTACCCCTCCAGAGTATATAAGGAGAGGCAGGGATCCCCTAGTCGCCAGATCTACGTACATCTCATATTCAATACAATACACCAAAGACACAGGACGTAGTAGGGTATTATGTCGATCAGACGGCCTGAACCTGTCTAAATCGCTGTCTCTACGCCTTGTGTCACCATCCGGTCCTGATCACGCGCACCTCCACCGACAAATCTACCATCGCGGGATACCCCTCGGTGGACTGCCGAGCATCTTTTATCGACAGTTGGCGCGCCAGGTATGGGTGTGCGCGTTGATCCATGGTGAACCAGATGGGATCTCAAGACTTACTTTCTAGCGAGATCGACTTTCATCTTGCCTGCGACGTCAACACGGAGATTTGCTGCCGAACTCAAGTCGCCGTGCCAAGACCAACAGCCCAGATCGAAGACTCGCGTGGTCGTGCAACAGTCGAACCCGACGTCTACTCCGATTAAGGTGGGGCCGGCAGGTTTCCATTAACTTGGTGAAGGCATCGGACGAGTACAAGAAGGCGCCAGATCCAGGTGAGTCCGTGCACCGCATCTGCTACATCTCGCACTACCTAGAGCCTCTTTTTGTGGCTGCCGTTCTGTTTTCCGTGGAGTCCTGCTTCCCCGTCGCCGAGGAGCCTATTGCCGAGTCCGTGAGGCCTGATAGATTTGGTATGGACAAGTACGTACATGATTATGTGCCTTTGCGTCAGCCGAACGACAACAAGCCAGCAAGCTAGATCATCATGCAAGCCAATAGCAAACAAGCAAGCTAGATGATATTTCCATGTATACAGACATCTACGCTCGACGTTCTCAAGAACAATTTCGCCCGTGCTCGTGTTCTCATCTTGGTGCATAAGCCCGACTATGTCCTAGTCGGACACACCAAGGATTTCGCCTCTCTACGTACTCGTTTGACTGCATCAAGCTGTCCGAGCAGTCAAGCAAGCCGCTAAGCGAGCTGCCCACGTCGCCGACTAGTAACACAAGGACGACGTCGCCCGGACTACTTACTCCGACCACCTGCCACGTCGCGATGATGATCGCCGCGAAGAACGGCGCCGTGACAACCGCGACCGCCGCCATGACGACAGTTCAGAAAGCTCGAGGGCCGAGCAATTTCGTCAACGCCGACCAGATAACGCCATACGTCGCCGACCAGATGTTCTGTCTAAAGCTAAGTCACGCTTTAATATTTTTCTAAATATTCTCCAATCTTCGTATATCGCCATAATGTTTCTCCGAGCTGTTTTCTCCATGTTTGCTCTCCAAACGATTTTCTGAACCAACGAACAGTCTTGTTGACGCTCGGATGTCCCTAGAGACGGCTCTGTCTCTCGCTCCTTCCTACACGTGAACAAGCGTCTGCCCTCTGCGTTATGGGTGGTCGGCAGCAGCTCCTTAGCGACGCTTTGTTCTTTCTACACGCACACGGGCCCTGCGCTCCGCGTTATGGTTAACGGGCTAGCTAGGGCTGGAAACTCAGCTACACACTAACTAGTCGGGACGGTTTATATTAAATATAAACACATCTTCACACCAACTGATCGCCGAGCTACATACGCTATTTCATCGTCATTGCTGATTTTTCTCCGGAGTTCATATATTTTTACAGCATGTACTACGCGTTCTATATATTTGTAATGCAGGATCATCGTACAGGTGATCGGACCACCTGTGCTCGGGCTTCTCCACCGATCAACTAGTCGAACCGCTAGGTTCGTGGACTTCGTCACCGATCAGTTGATCGAACTGTTCACCGGTCGCTTCTACTCAATGCTCACTTCGCCGTCGACCAGTTGACCAGACCGTTCGTCGCTCGTGCTTCATCATCAGCTACGTCGGGGGCTTCTCGGCGCTCGGATGTCGCCAGCTACGCCGAGGACTCCTCGGTGCTCGGACATCGCCAGCTACACCAGGGACTCCTCGGTGCTCGGACATCACCAGCTATACGGGGGCTCCTCGGTGCTCGGACATCACCAGCTACGCAGCTACGCCGGAGACTCATTCGATGCTCGGACGTCGCCAGCTCTACCGGGGACTCCTCAGTGCTCAGACATCGCCAGCTACACCGGGACTCCTCGGTGCTCGGACATCGCCAGCTACGCCGGGGGCTACTCGGTGCTCGGACATCGCCAGCTACGCCGGGGACTCCTCGGAGCTCGGACGTCGCCATCTACGTCGGGAACTCCTCGGTGCTCGGACATCGCCAGCTAAGCTGAGGACTCCCTTGGTGGTTGGATACGTCTCATTGGAGTGCTATCAAGCTGCTCCATGCTGTTCGGATCAGGGTGCTGATCTTGGGCAGCACGTCTGGGGTCTTGATACGCGCATGTCAAACGACGTCGGCAAGCTTTCAGACTTCTTTTTCTTTGACCCTGCTACAAGATTCATTCTTCATCTTTCAGCAGGCTCGGGGACTAAGTGGGCACACTTTACCTTGCGGTGAATGTGCGCTTTTCAATTCAGGGCTCCGCCCGTGGATTGATTGCCTGCTCGGCTGGTCTTCTGCCCTTCTTCTACTTTCTGACCCTGGCACCACGTGACTACGTCACCTACTGTCAGGCTCGGGGACTAGCTGTGTTGGTATGACCCCCGGTATCCATAAGACAAGATATGGACCACACCATCAGAGGTGACCCAGCCCATAAGATCAAGGCGTGCACGGCACTTATCGACGTGCACCACAAGATATTGTATAGTACCAAATATGCTACTTTCCTTGTAACCCTACCCCTCCAGAGTATATAAGGAGAGGCAGGGGTCCCCTAGTCGCCAGATCTACATACATCTCATATTCAATACAATACATCAAAGACACAGGACGTAGGGTATTACGTCAATCAGACGGTCTGAACTTGTCTAAATCGCTGTCTCTGCGTCTTGTGTCACCATCCGGTTCCTGATCACGCGCACCTCTACCGATAAATCTACCATCATGGGATACCCCTCGGTGGACTGCCGAACATCTTTTATCGACACTCCTCCACTTGGGATGTTATATTCTCCAAAGCTTAGTTCTGCTGATGATTCTTTTGGTGATTTGAACCTCTGTGATAATCAGAATACCTGTGATTGATGGAGGCTGTGATGTTCAGGTTCTTTACTACCACCTATCTACCGAAAAGGATGCAAACCTATGTTTGGTCTAAGTAAATTATCTTAAGTTTAACTAAATTTATAAAAAAATATTATTAATTTTCATGACTCCAAATAGTTGTAATTGTTAGGTATGATAAATAGTAATGTATATTTATATAAATTTAGTTAAATTAAAATGGTTTGAC